GTATTTTTTTTTAATTTATAAATGACTTAATTGGCTCAATTTAAAAGTATTAAAAGCTATACATGTTCAATAAAAAAACTCCTCTGATAAAATAAAATAAAAAATCTAAATTACTTAAACAATTTCAACACATTTACATTTTCATAATTTCAAACTAAATTTGGAAAGATTTAGAAATCGTTCTTAAAACATAGTAAAAAAAAATTAAAGCACTAAAAATATCTACTTTTTCAAAACACCTACTAGTTATTTCAAAAATTGATAAAACGTTCGAACGTAAACGTTATCGTCCGTAATGTGACTAGTGACGATTATATTATTGCCTTTTTCTCGATATTTTCCTTAATACCACAGTGCGGTTTGAACGTTCTAATTGTGCAGTCAGTTGCACGTATTTCAGTCGATATATACACAATTTCATTTACTTTTTCAAACTGTGAAACAGTGCAGTGAAAACATCGTGTGTCGCGATGTTGTACTTAAAATGTTTTTGTTGTACCGGTACCGTTATTGAAATAACACAAATGTAAAAAAAATAAAGAAAAATGTGGGATTGTTTGTTGTTCGCCACCTGGAAGGGATGGCTTTATAAAATTTATTTTTACGTAACGAAGTTTTTTAGAAGAAAATATAAGTTTAACAAAATGTTCTTTTTGTGCGTGTTTTGCCAGTGGAAATTAGTTTTTACGCAGGAACAGGAAATGTTTGTTTATAGGTTTGTTTTATTGACGTCTTATTATTTTGTGTATATCTTGCTAAAATTTCTTATCGCAATTTGTATACACAGCTGAGGATGGTGTAGAAGGCAATTGTGTGTGAAATCGAATAACTGCATCGATAAGATTATCGGCTTCGTGTTTTTCACTGTTTGGACTCGAGTTGTTTGAATATCAATAACAGTTAAATTATATTGTTTACCTAAGTTTACATCAACTGGACGATATGTGATAGTGAAAATGTTTTGCGTTACAAGGACAAAATACAATAAAATTATATTTATTATTTCTTTTCGAATTTTTAATAATTTAAAATAACTAATCTAATTATAACAAGTTTTAGTAGAAATGTGTTAACAAAGATGTTGTTTATTAGTGTATTGTACAAAATAACCAAAGAGATTGATTCTAGTGGCCATTTAGGTATTTCGTATTTAAATAGCCCGTTTAGCTATTTACTTAGGTATTTAGGTGGACAACTAAATAAACTCCACAGTTAAGAACAATTTTTAAGATATACAACAATGAGGTTGTCAATAAGTATAAGTTAGGTGTATCTTATATAACCAACTTTGAATTTATCTTATATATGAGATGTTCCTTCTTGTGTCAACCAGGGCATCCACCCGAATATCCTCGAATTACTCGTCATATTACTTTTCTTGAAATTAGGACTTTGTGATATTTAACAGTCTTTGTTACCTTATTGGACAATTACTAGATGGATAGTAAAATATACATTATATAGGTACTTTAAATCTAATGAATGATCCTTTGATGAAATGAGTTGCAGCAATAAGACTAACATCATTTTTGTAATTCTTCGATTGTCTGCATCTCTTATTAGTGCTGCAGCAATAAATTTTTTGAATAGAATACATTCAGAAAGTCTTAGCTGATTAACTAATAGAATGTAATTACAGAAAAGAACAGAAAGAATTAAGATCTGCCATTTAAAAAGTAATTCAAACAAGAAATGACTTACAAATATTACCAGGAGATGAACCGTTAGCCAAAATGGATGTTCAATTATGTAGGGAGTAGTACACTGTTATGTGAAACTACAAGTCCTTTTTACAAGGACTACACTACGAAACATTTGTTTAAGGTATGAAAAATGTTGCATCAACAAAATATTTAGAAAATGCGACAATTATTGTTTATTTGCGATTTTAACCCATAAAACTCGTATTGTCATAACAAAACACTGACTGAACATTGAATGATTTCTCATTCAGTAAGTCTGTACTTATATTAATAATCCAATTAAAAAATGAGAACCAATAATAATTATAGTAAATGGATTAATAATACAGGTAGACCATCATCTGTTATTCACGATGATTGACGGCAAAATATGTAATTCCATAACAAGTACAAAATCGACGCAAACATGTTATTGAAATGAAAGATGAAAAATGAATGTTAGGAATATCTTATATTTGTGTTTCGCAATTGGATAAAAATTTTTGAATGTTTACTTCCGATAGCTTGCAAGTTATAACAGAAACATAAAAAAAGGAGGTTCAACAACAATTGCCAAAAGTTAGCAGAAATCACGAAAATAAATTTAATTATTATTGAAAGATTTTATATTATTTTAGAAACAATTTTTAGTGTTTATGACCTTAACAGTGATAAATTTACGCAGACATTGATATGTTTTATTCAGTGCTGAAATCTTCGTTTCACAAAGATATTTGTCATATAAATATCACCAATCCACAAGAAATGGGATAAAAAGAAATGCGAAAGGAACCATCAGCAGAATATATGGAAGAATACTGAAAAACAGAATTGAAGACTACATTGGAGTACAATATAATGGAAGCAGTATTGCCCATCTGTTTACATTAACTCAATTCATAGAAAAGAAATCAACATATAATCAGAAAATGCTTTTACTATTTGTTGATGCACAAATAGAAATAGGAAATACCTTAATAGCTGGGATTTCAGTAATAAAAGGTGAAAAAAGTTGTTGATAGCAATAGCACTATTTAAAATTTATTTAGAAAGCGCACTACTAAGATGGAAACGAAAATGCTAAACAATTAACATACGAATGAATAGTACTTTAACACCTTAGCAGTTGCTGACAATCAAGTTGTGACACGCAAACTAATTGAAAAGTATAATAAATGGGGCTTAGAGGTTATCTTGAAAAAAAACTGGATACATATGTGTTAGAGAAGAATAACAAGACCTGCCTATATCGGACAAACAAAACATCAAACATTACAGATCACACAAATACCTTGACGTAAAAATATCGAAGGAGAGATTAGGAACTGAAAAAAATCTGTAGGATATGAAAGCAACAAAAGAACACAAACACAGAATATATTCTGCACAACTCAAACGAAGACATAAGGGATTATAACAAACTCATGACATTATAGATGACATAAGAACTGCCCAACTTAGATGGTACGGAAATGTACAAAGAATAGGTCAAGACCGACTACCAAAAAAACTGCACTGGACACCAAAAGGAAAAAAAAGAAAGGAAGACCACGGAGGAATTGGAGAGTAGGTATTGATGGAGTAATGCCGATGAAAGAACTGAAGAAGGAGACATGGACAAACAAAGATCTATTTGTTGGAAATAACTCATAATCTGACATTATTTTTCTTTTCTTTTGTACAAATTACAATCCTGGAATTGCAAAGTTTATACGCGTTGCGCATCTACGTGCGACGTCAAAAACATTTTTGATAAATGATGGATCTCATATATAGATATATGGATATGAAGATTTATGAACAAATCCGGAGAAAAAAACTTTGTTTAGATCAGTTCTTTTTTCGATATGTATTTCATCTTCACCCACTCCAATATGAGAGTTCTACTTTGTACATTTGGTTGATGTAATATAATATTTCCCAAAGATTTGAATATCTAGTGACAATAACATTCCTAGGTAAGGTACGTCAGACTTCTGTGTGTCATCACATCACGAAGACTTAATTGTTTGGTGCTTTTTTCCCAAGTTTAGAAGAGCGCTATTGAAAATGGATTTAGAGTCCAACACATTTCCTGTTAGGATGTCCACTACATGTTTTTTCTCACAAACAAGCATAACTCTCGATTAAGTTGACCGATCAGAACTAAACAAAATTTGTTGTAAAAATCAACATTAATTTTTTATACTGATTTGGTGTTTCCTAAGTTATTAATATTTTTCTTTACTTAGCCAGCTTTGCTTTGCATATAGAGCAATTATAAGTATATATTGTAGTATACACTAATATAAGTATATTGTATGCAGTTTGCATAAGAATTCTTTTTTTCTGCATTTTTGTTATCATCTGGAAGTCATTTTTTAGTCTTCAACCACAGAGTGAAATTCTTTTTTGTGCTTTTAAATACCCATACATGTATTTTTTACATGCAATATACATACTTTCCAACACTATATGAGGCAACTGCGTCGGTGTCGCTCTTTTCTATGTGCTATGACATTGTAAATACTTTCAAATTTTAACGAGAAAACAAATTTTTTTAAAGTATCACATAAGAATACTCTCTTAATACTTATTAATTATTTAGAGCAGCAGTTTCATCCATGGAACGTATTGACTGATAAAAGAGTTATCAAAATCTTTTATTAGGACCAAATAACTTGCTTATATTCACTTATTCTGACCCTTTTTGTATGTTCAAGTTTGCAAAGAACTTTCGATTTTCTGCGACCAATGAATTTTACTACACCCACAGTTAAACATTTACTGTTATGTTGCACATATATTTATTTATATTAGGTTAGATGTTTTGATGCCACAATCGTTAGAGGCAAACAACAAAAAAGTAGTCTTTGTACAAACAAACATACAAGGAGAGACTAAACAATGTAAATAACTTTTTGACTTGAAGCATGTTGTGCGTATCATATACCTATATAGATAGGTCGTACAGATATAGCTAGTTTATTAATACCGTAATGAAACGATACGATTAAAATGCTGACCCATGAAAAGTTTGGTATTCGGCACTGCTCCGTTCAGGACGTGTTAGAACGTGTTAGTGCCACTTGGGAGATCGTTTGTCTTTACATATTTTAACGATATAATTTATATAACTAAATGAAAACTTGTAAGTAAATACCCTGAAGTTTAACGTATAAGTCTGACTACTAACTACAGAGTCCCTAGCTCTATGCTACGAGACGCCTAATCATTGTCATTATAAAAACAACCGTAGTTTGAATAACGTTGTGTAAATTCTTAAACAAATCTCTACATTTTCTTTCAACTTTATCTCAAATATTTTGTTCTTTACAGAGGCATGCACACCCCAGAGAATACATTGGAGCGAGGGTCCCACCCTCCTCCGCCTCCCTACACTGCACCGGCTCGCCCTTGCGAAGATCAGGAAGAAAATAGGGACGACTACTACCTTACGGTTTCAATGCCTAACGTCGGCGACAACTTCGATAACAGGTGTGTTATTTTTCGCTTCTTTTGTATTTATACCGTACAAGTTCGTCCACCGTTTTCTTGCATACTTTGTCCAACAACCGTATTTTTGTAAAGCTTGAGTGCACACAATAGATTTAGTGGGAAGGCACCAGGTAGTTTTTAGGTTTTTGGATAGATAAATAATTATACTCTTTCGGACGTTTCGGACTTTAGCCCCTCTAACCTTTAGAGCAGGTAGATTTTCTAAGAAATATAACCTGTTTTGTTTGATATGGTTTTTCTATGTTAATACCTTGTTCGTTTTTAAATCACTTTTTTTTATCTTAAAATTGAGTTGCAATAAATTTTAAAAAATACCCGAATTTATGTTTTTAGTCATCACAGTTATATGATTTGATTACGCCATTGTTGTTTATCCGGATAAAATTGCATTCCAAAATTATTATCTTATCAAAAACCATGATATTATCAGCCCCAATTCAAATAGTTTGACTGATTAAAAGATATATTTTTTAAAGATTTCATTTATTTAACGCTAAAAAATTCCTATCTCGTTTTTTTTTCGTTTATACATAAATTATTATGTTTACGTTACGTTGCAATGAAGCAATAATAATTTCACAACTCAAAATCGAATAGTTATAAATAAACTTCTACACCACGTGTGTCAACAATGTTAACATACGTCTTACTTATAGAATGTCGAATGGAGTATTGTTCGTTCAAAAAATAAAGAAAAAAAATATTTTCCCAGGACGTACGCGTAATTATCATATAAATCCGTTGGATTGAGGCAATTTCAATTTATTACACACGCAGTAAGGAGTCCGTCGCAATCTGAAAATCTCTAGAAGGATAATTGTCGTAATTGCGCGAACTGATGTGAAGAGGGATCTGGTAAATTGGTGTTTACTCCTGATTTTTTTTTTATTTCTACTAGAGTCGCTCTCCTTGACTTCATTTATCGAATTCCCTTTTATAAATCTTTCCTTTTTTAAAATACTAAAGAAAAATATGTTATTTAATGTGGAAATCTGAAAAAAAAATGTGTAATTTATCATATAACCGTAATACCAGTAATTCTGGTTAATTCATTGTTTTATAGCAGAAAAAAATTTGTTGTTATTTGGAATAAACTAAATAGTCGTTTTAACATAATAAATTTTTATTTCTATAAGATTGTTGAGATTTACATACAGCTGTAGAAAAAGGATCAGTATTTTTACGCTTACTTTTGCGTGCTGATTACAAATAAATACTCTGTTTATCGCTATCAAGTCGAACTCGAAATTTCTTAAATCGCATAACTTCATTAACTGAATATTTTTAGCAGCATGAAAGATAAACAATATTATACAACAGAAAATCAAAATGAAATATTGATTTGTTTTGATAACACTTACATTAACCATAAATCCTTTACACAAATAAAGCATGCAAGTGTACGACAATAACATTTTAACACATTTAAATTACGTTTGTTCTAACATTTAATGAATTTTTGAGTTTGATCACGTGATTTGACAGGAAAATGCTTTTAATTTTATTGTCTCTAAACCGATTTTTGTAGTTTCATGAAAAACTACAAGAAAGTTTTATAGACCTAGAATGTATTCAGTCTCGGAATTTAAGGTCAGCTAAATGCCGACGAAAGGGCTCGTATTTAAATTTCCTGGTATAGTATTGATAACGTGTCAGCTTTTGAAGTAGTGATAATCGATATCTATTGTTTATTCAATCATATTAGTTACATGTCTCTGTTTGTTCCAAAATAGTTTACTTCTATAAATAAATAATTTATGTTGCCTTCATAGGAAAACTATCCTCGCCCAAATTGCGTACAAACAGATTTTTCTTTCCAGTGTTTGAATGTGATGTCTATATTATTTTGTTAGCCATTTAATCAAATCTGTCCATAATTAATCAATATCTATATTCTGTCTATAATATACAATTTCTCTCTAAGTATTTCCTTTCTTATGAGCTTTCATTTATATTATATTGGAACTAATATATTCCTTTTTCCAATGTTAGTAAATTTGTTTTCTATGCTTATTCCCTTGATCTCTTTATTTTTGATTTTTATTTTTGTCCGAAAATATGACATACATAACACCTCTTTTTAATGTATCCCCACAGTCAGAAAAATTATTAAAGTTATGTCGGTAGTTCAGGGTGGTTACGGTATTGGTCCATGTGTTAAAAAAATATTGTTGCACACTGTTGTAAAGAAATGTCCTGTAAGCAACTTGGCAAAGTTTTTAGCAAAAATTGTTGTAAGTTTAGTCATTCCCAGAAAATAAGGACCAATGAGCTGAGCTCATCAAGTTCCAATCCAAACATTCAGAATAACGTAATTCTAATAATGATGATTACGATGGAAACAAAACATGAATAAATAAAGGATTGTGGCGAATTCGTGTAATGCCTATGTGCAAAAATTTACTTTCCATAGATCATCTCCGAAATGCAGTATTTGAGGCTGCGATATGGACACAAGTTATATCTTCGAAGACATCTCTGAGCAGAGGATTGGGGGTGACACATAGTTTTTTTCAACAAACATGTGCTAGTGGTAGGATTATTCTCAACATCTGGCTAAAACATTTTTCCTGTTGCTATGTAAGTTTTTGAAAATACCACCACAGCGTGTATTTCTACATTTTGAATTATTTTGTGATCTAAAGGGCGGCAGTTCAGAAATCACTCTTTTTGCAAAAGCTCGTCGTCGTTACAAGCGTCTGAAACTTTTTATCATATCAACGTTTCCTCTGTTAGCATGACTTCCTAATTTAAATTAAAAAAAACATTTCTATGTTTCAACAGTTAACAAATGGTAGACGAGAAATACATAATAACCTCAAAGTTAAGTAAATTCATAGTAACTACAATTGTTTATCTGGCCAAACTGATTAGGTTTAAAGAAGCCGCAAATTGCTGAAACACAAGTTCTTTGCAGGTTTACTTGAAAACCGCTGGTTTTTGCGATTTTAGTATTCTTTATTTTATTGTCCTATTTTTAATTGTAAAATAGATATCAGGGGGTTGGTGAGTGAACATTCACTCGACACATTTAGTGAAAATACACGTTATCGTACAATATACATTCAGGTTTTATTGTAAAAGGATGTTTTGTATGGCTTGGAAACATTTTATCTTTTCATGCACTTTGTATTTGTGATTTTGGACGCAATGGAAGGCAATTTAAAGGCATCTTGGGGGTCCATGTGTGAGGCTAAGATAACGATATCGTTTCCATATTATTTATCACTTATGCTACAGTAGTTTAAAATAGAGTACCACACAGAGTAAAGTCAGCACCAATACGCTGTGAGACTGCCAGTCGCACAAAGTGAAGACTAGGGAGCAAGCCCTTCAATGTGGGATAAAAAACTTCTCTTCCAAGTATGGTTACAATAGTATAAAATATTAGTGGTTAAATTATTTTTTAGTTTGACAAACAACTACTTACTTTCATTGTAGAGTTTCCACTTGTTCAATAATTAATTTTTAGTTTGAACCCTAATTGTTGGTTTAATATAAAGTTGTAGATATATGGTTAATGTTTGCTCAACAACATTTTAAACATCTTACTTCCTAGTAGACTTAAAGTTTAGTTATCATTTTTACCCTAGCAACATCCCACTGCGGATGGAAATATTTGGGACGAAAGATAAAAATCTTAGATGACCATAATTACTTTGTTTCGTAATTATTTCAGTACTTGCTCTTTTGAAAACTTAACTAGGAGCTTCCCCGATAGCCAGACTTAAAATTGTACTAAAAGTCTTTTAGAATTTATTTGCTTCTTCAATACAATAAATTTTTCTTGTGTGTTTTTGAAATGTTTGATAAACGCGTGGGCAAGAGAATGCAGAGTTTTCTTGGCCATTTTCAGTTCTGCATTTTAATCGGATGTTTCGTGTTCCGTTGGTTTTTAGATTTATTAATTTGCCTTAAGTAGTAGTTGCTACAGATGAGTTTGCTAGGATTTCTAAATAATACGGCAATGACTTATTTTTATAAGCATCTGTGTATAATAGCGTCTGAGGTACAACTCATGCAACTTTTTCGATGCATAACCCAAGCTATGTTTATGATGGATGCTTCAAGATTTGAGACGAAAGGATTGTAAGAATTATAGAAGAATTGTATACAGTCGGAGAAAAAAAATCAAAAGAATTGCATATTGTTATATTCCCCTCATCACGCAAAAGTCGGTAATGTCGAGGGGTTTCTCTAAGCCAGCAGTCTATTGGTGTCTTCTAGCGAAAGATTGCGGATCATATCAGTCATCTACATTTATATATGTAACTTAAACATTTAGTTCAGAGAGTTTTTCTGTTTTATTATGTTTGATATTATTTTTACAATTATTGTAGTACCTTCTTGAACTCTGCTTTAGGGATGCAGTGTATATGTTACCGTCAATCTGTATAATTCAGGTACTCTATATAATGCCTAGGTAATGTATAAAATACCTGGGGTGTCTAGGCAATGTATGAAATATTATGAAGATTATTATCCCTTAGATACTTTACCTAGGTATTGTACACAATTCTTAGGGATTACCGTTGGTCGACCGGCAATGTGTAAAATAAATAGATTTTGGTCTGTATTTATCAATTGTTATTCATAATAAACTTTTTTATTTACAACTATTGAATTATCTATTCGTTATATATTTGATTTTTGACGGGTAATGACACGCATTACTCATGACTGACAAAGTGTTGAATAATGAAGCCATTATTCCACAGTTCTGACACAGCCTACTAATCAAAAAATAAAATATTAACAGAAATGACAGCTTTCTTATATTGAGGTTATGTTTGAAATGTCTATCAAGTTTATTTTCTTTCCTTTTTTAGATTATTTTTTTCAAAATTAAATAGTTGTAGATAAAGTATAGTATTCTTTTTTATTTACAACTATTGAATTATCTATTCGTTATATATTTGATTTTTGACGGGTAATGACACGCATTACTCATGACTGACAAAGTGTTGAATAATGAAGCC